TGGTGGAGCAGCCCCACCAATCCAGAGCTCTGGAATCCTGATTTTCTGGCAGTTAAACCCCTTTTCTCTCTCCTCTTTAATTACCTTTTTTTTTCCCCCCCTCATCCAAGATATTTTGGGACACATCACGACTCCCAGAAATTTTAACTCCAGCTTTGGGCTTTGCAGATGAAATGACACATTTAATGAAAAAGGAGAAAATCAAATGGCATTTTTCTCTCCAGTCTGAATTCCCACACATCCAAAAGGGGCTGTTAAATATCTCTGCAATCAGCTGTAGCTTTCTTAATTTAAAAAAAAAAATAAAATAATAATCTGTAGCTGTTTTATTCCAGGAAATTATAAGACTACTGTAAATTCCACAGAAACCGGACTTTTATCCTTTTTTTTATTTAATTATTGTTGAATCTAAGAGCGGGGGGGAGGTTGGGGAAGAGAGACCTGCTGGATCTTTGCTGCTGGATTGTTTTTTAACTGGGATTTCTTCTTGAAATCCCACATTTCCCACAGACCAGGAAGGACATTGGGTGAATATGTGTGGATATCTATCAAGTGCATTTCCAGGGCAGCTTAAATTTTCACACCCATGTACTTTATAAGCTCTTTTTTTTTTTTTTTTGGCAATTTTAAGGCTGTTTGGTTTCCAGGGAACTGCAACACCAACCTGTCCAAGCTGTAACCATGGAATAATTAACAGGAATAATTTGGTTTTTAACCTGATGGGAAGTGTGGCACAGCCTGGCCTTTAAATCTGCTGATGCTTCCAGGGCTGAATTCCCACGGAGAGAGGGAATTTTGGGAGGCTGGGATGGGTTTTATCGCTTATCCGACGCCGGAATTGAGAATTCCAGGGAGCCACCAAGGCAGCTCCTGGCTGGGATCACGGAGTGCTTGGCACAGCACCCACGTGGGGCTTGGAGATGTTCTCTGGGAACACACTGCTCTCTTGAGCCATGGAATCATGGAATCAGCTGGGTTGGAAGGGACCTCTGAGATCATCAATCCAAGCCTTGATCCAACCCCGCCGTGGTTCCCAGCCCATGGCACTGATCCCACATCCAGTC